TATATATATATCTGTCATGTCCCACTCATTGACTGACCTTGACAGAAAAAAAAATTGTTATTATCCCAGCTATTACTAAGGGTTTATTATTTTCCCTTCCCACCACTTCTCTATTTTTCTCCAGTGGATACTCATTAAGACTGACCAAGTACCACAGACCTCTCTGATTCCGAATCCCTAGCCCTGCATTACTGCCTATTTAAAAATACTTCAGGGAGTTCACGGATTTACACAAGTTCCTTCCAAAGGCTCAGTTTCTGAAATTTTGAATTTGAGTCAGTTATTGACATTTCAGAGTCCTCTCAGAGGGTTAACAGAAATCAACAAAAAAAGACAAGGTATGTCCAATCTTTGAGGAGGTTGAAAACTGGACAAAGATTCTGAAAGGAATTTAGAAACTACAGGGAGGGACTAAAAATTGTATGGAAAGTTAAGGTATCTCAAGGGATCAGCTAGTAAAGCTCCTCTTCTAAGAATATTGTTGGGAACTACCTCCAGCTCCTTTGCACTCTCATTATCAAGGGATCAAATCCACAACTATGAAACCAACAGCTGTGTTCATTACTGCCTTTATAAACACATCACAAAAGTTTGCAGAGGGCATCCATCCAGCTTCCAAGCTCATTATGAAGGTGTTCAGCATGAACAATTTAGAGCAGATGTTCAAAGCATACATCAAACAGTGTGATAAGGTCAAGTATTACTTCATCCATTAAATTTCCCATAAAAATGTACAGAAGAGTGACTGGTCTCCAAAGTTTATTAAAAATCAAAGAATAGAAAACTTTACATAAAAATATGTCAATTTTAGCTTCCACATAGTTGTCCACACAAAAAATTTAAACATGATTTTTTTTAAACCTGTAGCACATAACCACAGTGATAGCCAGGCCAATTTATTTGGTTCACCATGACTGAAGTGTTACATGATACCACTTTTCGAATGAGTTTTGCTTTAAAATGGACGCTAGTATAAGACACCAACTAAAGCCTTTGAAGGCTCTTTAATGTAGTTATGCTCAATATTGCTAGTGTGTGAAGACTAAGCATTACAGGCTCATGTAACAGCCCTTAGATATTATTTATGAATCAGCTCACAATTTTTAAAACTTTTTTTTAAATTGTGATGAGTCTGGAGCATTAAGACAAACTTTTTGCAAACAGATATGCACTACTCTACTTTGGAATGTTGCCCTCTCTCCCCTCAAGGACCTGTTTGTGTTTGACAGATTCAGTAATAACATGAACTACTTCTGCTTCAAAGGCATACAGCATATTAAAAAGCTTCATGCTTGACACCTCATTTTAATATTCAGATATCAGTTTTAAAACCTTCTATATCTGTACACAGTATAGACGTCCTGTTAACAGGATTCTTCAGCTTTCTCTGCTAGTGGACTTATATAACTGATCTGTAGTTTTCTGTATAGCTTAAGAACTCTCATTAAAAAAAACGGGAAGTAAGAGGGCATGAGATGTGACCTACTCCCAGGACAACTGTGGTGCTTTAAAAACTCAGGGTTAGGCAGGATGTACATTTTTCAAAAAGTTAAAGACAGTGTTTGTCATGGCAATACACACTTGCATAGTATACCTGTATGCATCTGTAAATTAAGTGCCAGCCACTCATACTGTGTGCAACACTGGGCTGTGCTCTCCTGCAATACATTAAAAGATACTTCTCGTAATGCTTAGAGCAGCTGAAGTACTTTTTATATATTTGCTCTTAACAGAACTAATGCATACTGCTATACAGATTCCTTAATGGAATCAACATATTTCCTTTCTCCACATTCCTTAAGCCGGGTACCTCTGTTTAATAATGTTGTTTGAACCCAAACATTAACAGGTTACGCTACTAAAAATGCATCAAAGCGTGTAGTTCACAGCTTTTTAATTTCACATCAGGACTTGAACCAACCTTTTTCCCCTGCCTCTCAAAAGTTTTACTTCTGGTACTACAAATGCTGGATTTGTTGTCTAGTTAAAGGAATAAAATTAAAACTCATTGGTCAGAGCAAGACGACTGATAGAGGCCAGACAATGAGCTAAAAAACACAGGGTCAAAATGCTTTGGAGCTTAATACCTTCTTAAAACCGTAAGCCAAATCGTACTTTCATTGTGAATCAAGAAGCCTCAAATATTACCAAATGTCATGTTTGTAACACTGCTCAGACAACCTGCCAAAACTATGAACCCAACTTAGATAATGCAACCTGGGAAAGGATCTGTAAATTAAAAAACCTCTTCCCCTTAAATATAACTTATGTGACAATATGAAATTAAATTAAAAATTCCAAGTTATTGCACAAATTATACTCCCAATATTTACAGAGCAAAAAATTCTGAACTTTGAAACAAAAACAGGAGAGCAGCAAATTTACTTTTATGAATTCCCAACTTGATTTGCTGCAAAGAAAAAACAAAAAAGAATTCCAAGGGGCTGAAGTTTCCTTCACTTCTAAAATAAAAGAAAACAGAACCCACAAAGGAACAGATGTAGCCACAGCAAAAAAGCCACAGCATTTGTAAATGTCCTTGCAGTTCTATTGTCAGAGCTGCTTCGGCACTGTATGAACCATTGTGGGAAGGCAGAAAACAAACTTCCACATTTAATAAGGCTTCACAGATAAGCACAACTACTTCTTGAAGATGGACTGAACCACCACACAAAGAAACATGCAAAGAAGTCAGCTGCAGATATTTGGCAACACCAATAAAACGATGTGCTGGATGCTGGTCTCCATCCCTCAAGTCGAGTGGCACTCACTCAGTTTGTCTGAACAGGGAAGGTCATTTTGGCATCTGCCATTATCTGCTCAGACTAATAGGCAAACTGTCTCTGTGTTTTTTTCTTCTCCATATATTACGATTGTACTGGTGGTGTCCTCGGTTACCAACTGGTTGCCTCATGCCTCCACTGCTGACGGGACTGTAGCTGTTGCCTTGGTTATGAGTTCCTTTCATGGAAAACTTCATTCCACTGTGCTGCTAAAAAACACAAGATAAGCACTCAGTTTAGGCATATGAACAACTGAAACAAAGCACACATTACCAGTGGTATTTCCTCAACATACAAGTCATTCCCACAGAATACTGCCTGAAGCAACTGGTCTTTTTTCATGCTTGTCTAATTTTAGCTGTGCAAGTCTGATGACACTAACAGCCTAAGAAGTGTTTTCTGAAGTAAATGTCCTGCAAATGAAATGGTGTAGATTTCAAAGCGTCCTTAAAACCCTTGGACCTCAGTATGAAATACACTCACTATGCATCACCCTTATAAGAACAGAGACCTTCCACAATAAATACTAATTGCTGCAGTCATGTCTATTTTGGAGGATCTTAGCAAGAGCGTGACCAAGTGAGATACTCAATAAGACTTTCAGAAACATCATGGATAAATGTAAGGGCTTAATCATATGAGCTGATACATACAAAGCACAAGTCTGCTCTGCCCATAATCTCACTCTGCTACAGGTAAACCAGCTATGGCTTGTAAGGACCTTGTAAATCTTACTGGTCTGATCATAGTGCTACATGGCTCCTAGACCATACCTCACATCCAGACCAAGGCAAAACAATTAAATAATCAGGAACATAGCATGACACACTTTCTTTGTGGGGAATCTCCGATAACTTGAAACAGAAACTGCCAAAAAGGTTTAGCGGCAGCCTGAGTAAATCTACCAACACCATAAGGTACTAAAGGCAACCCTATCACTTAATGGCACACAGTAAGTTGGTTTAATGTGTATGTACTTAAAATAGATACAAGAGTTTCAAAAGATGAAATTGAAACAGACTTCCCAAATACTGATAACTTCAATGCAAGTAACTTTTCTGATGTCTGACAGCAATAACTAAGACAGAAAACTGACTGCCTTTAACAAAAGGCACTTTTGTCTACAGTAAGTGCTTAAACAGGAACACTGCAAAGTAACATTTGAGGCAACTGCTTAGAACATGAAATATCTGCAGCTACTTTAGTAACCTGTATTTCCAAACAACTTTGGAATAGAAATGAGAACATGAAGCCATCATTACAATTGTGTGCACAAAACCAAAATAGTTATTGAAGGCATAATTCCATAAGCAGCATTTTACTGTCAAATTATAATTAGAAGAGACACTGAGCATACAGGAAAAAAAACTGGTGAAGACTAGTATTGATGAATAATTAAAGTTAGCTGCAGGGTGGTAAAACAACCTTTAACCTGTTTTTTAATTTGTGAAGTGTGCCCTACATCAACCTAATTCAACATGCAACTTCTAGGCTCCCAAGACAGGCATGCTAAGTGCTAGCCTCAGACTACCAATAGTAAAATATTCAAGGACAAACAGAAAAAAGGAATGCAAGCTGAGATTCCCTCATTGTTAAGACACACAGGTGCCCAAACCTTATATATTGATGTATGTTGCTAAAACATCTACTGGAAGCTACTTAATGAAAGTCAACAACACAAAACTAAAAAAAATCAGAATGTTTTACATTTTTGGCAAGTGGTCCTTCAAGCAAACACATTATTTGTCACATTCTCATGCAGAAAAGTTTTCTAGTTCAATAAATGTATATCTGACTCTCAATTATATCAGCAGACAATTAAACATCTACATTAAATGAGGTCAAAATACTAAAAATAATCCTTCAACAGTCAAAACACTAAAAACAGCCAGTCATTAGTTACCCTCAACTATACGCTGAAAAAAAAAAAAGAGGAAAACTTTAGTTTTGCTACTGCACAACCAGAACAGAACTCTGACCAAGAAGCATACAAAGTCTCAGCGAGCCTATCCTTTTCAGCTGGAAATATGAAAAATCTGGCAACTTCATCCTCAAGTTGAGGATTCAGCAAAAAAATTATTTGGGGTAGGAAGGCAGGTGACCACAAAATGAAGCAAGTATCACAGCAAGTATGACTTGCTTCAATTAAGCCTACCTACCTGTATCCTAAAAGAAGTCACATGCCTGGTTTGTTCAAAAGGTAATCAAACTTCCAAAGAATGATTAATAAGCTAGCCTAAAAGTGATCTCTAGCTTGTCATGAAGCATTTTGCATTGGTTTTTAGGTCATCAATATAAAGACTGTCAAACTATCAGAGCAGAATCTGAATCCATCTATCTATCTGAGCTGACTCATCAGCTGAGAGCAGGTGCTTAAGAGCAAGTTGACTCAGGGACCTCTTGGGTCAGAGATGATACCTTTATATTTACTAGTTCTCAACTAGATATTGTTCTCTAGTTTGTCTAGAGTTTTGACAACACAAGCTTTTGGCATCCTGTGTCCTGTGCTATGGCAATTCACAGCTTAAATGACCATCATGTTTAATTTGAACCTACTATCTGACAATTTTTCAGTTCTTGGAGTAATTAATTTTTTGTCATTCTACTCTGTCTTTTCCATATACTGCTGATGACTACACAGACCTGAATCATCTACCTCTCCATTTTCTTCTCCAGGTTAAAGAATCATTCATTCTTCACAATGAAGCAATTCCGTAGTTTGACCACTCTTACCATCCTTCCCTATTCTTCTATTTGTATTATAACTTTCTTCTGATGCAGGAGGCAAGAAGTTACTCACTGTTCATGTTGGGGGATGTACACAGATTTTTATATGTTTTCATTTCTGCTCTTTATTCCTAATAACTTCTGAAACTTGGTTTGACACAATTCTCAGTAGGAAATCAAGAAAGCATTATCAAAGCAGTTTTCGGCAAAAATGTCAAGATCTCATCTCTGCAAGAAACTGTCAGCTCAGGGCCTACCACTCTCTACAAAGTTTAAAGTATTTCTCTCCCTCCTGATGCATCGCCCTGAAAGGTCCTTCTGCACTCCTCCTCAGTTGGCCCTTAAGGAGCTTAACAACATGAGCAAACTTCACCACGCTTCATCCATTGCCTTTCAGATGTTAGGCAGCACAAGGCCCAACACAAACTCCTGCAGGGCTTTCCTGGTGAACGCCATTTACTACAAAAGTTGCATCTTTGTTTTTCATGTTTTAAGTAGTTAATAGTTTACAAGAGGACACACATCTTAGTTTCTTTCAGATTCTTTGGTAAAAGAAATTGACTTCATGTCTTTTGGAAATCCCCAGAAGTTCTATCAAATAACTTTCTCTTGTCCCCACACTTCTGGATATTCACATGCTCAGGACTCCCATGATCACTGAGAAATGGCATGTCTGTAAGCAGATGATGGCTGGAGAAAGACAAGACAATCAAAAAAGAAAGCTCTTAATCTCTGACACAACAGACAAATCTTTGGTATAGATGTTTTGACTTCTTTAGATCTTTTTCTCTAGATAGAATCATCTACTCTCCCATCATAGGGCTATCGATTCAACAACTGAATGATAGAACTGGTTTCTGTTTTGGTTTTTGGTTTGAGTTTTGTCGGTTTGGGTTTTGGGGGGGTTTTTCTTGTTTGTTTGTTGTTGTTTTTTTGAGAAGTATATTGAATTTGATCCAGTGCAAATAAAAGCTGCTAGTTCTGAAGGGAAAACTATAAAATCGCATTTAAGGCAAGCTGGAGGGTAGGAGGGGAGGGTTGGGGTGGAATTCTGTATCACATACCAGGTTAAAAGAGTTTCCAGATTTTTTAACAGAAATTTAAGAAAAGGATGTTCCTGGCCTTAACCCCAAATGACAGAAATCTGATGAAAATTTAAATACAAATTAGCTATTTGCTAAGGAAACCAAACTTTTATTCTTAAATACTGGCAAATTTGCTATACAAAACTGCTGACACTCAAAGACTGTCATTATTCAAAAAGAAAATTTATAGTTAACAATAAATCGTCTACACTTTGAAATAACACAAGTAACATAACAGAGCTGAAGTCTAAACATAAACAGGGTTTCTGAATTGTTTTGGTGCTTGGGGTTTTTTGCCTGTTAGCATCTCTAAAGTAAGAGGAAAAAAGTAGGAGTGTTGAGGATGAAAATGAAGTATCAGTACTCTTAACTGTAAAAGAAGAAATTATACATACAGCGCTCAAAAATAATTGTAAGGACTTACAGAGATAAAGAAAATTTTTAGGAAAGGCATAAGACAGTTTAGAAAGAAAACCTATTTACTGTTTTGTTGTTAAGACTACAGGATTAATGGTCATGACTGAATCTAGTCTGCAGTTGATTGGAATTGTAATCAAACTCATACACTTCAAAATCATTTCATGTGAAGTATTACGGAGTAGTATTCAGAAGAACTTTAAAGCACCATTAACATTTTAAGTATCCTCTTAAATAACTGAATATACATCCTCAAAATATTTCACAAAGTTTTTTTCAATTTCTCACCATATTTCCAAATCCTCTATTTTAGGCTTGTAGCAAAACAAAACCAACCAACCAAAAAGGCAAAACAAAAAAACCCACACAAAATCCCATATGCATAAACTTCCCTTTTTTAAAGTATTTATGTTCATTTTCCCCACTTTCTGAGCATAACAACATCTGGAAATATATTAAAAAAATGCATCTTGCATGTCGGTAAAATTTAACTTCTTGTTCTTTATGAAATGAATTCACTGTTTCACAGAGAGACAACATTTTAATCATTACTGCCCAAGCAATACATCAAGTATTAGGCAGTGGTTCAACCTAGCCTCATTACTTTAAATTAGCTAACAGGATTCATCAAGATATTTGCCACCTGGGCATACTCTTAACCTGGTAAGATTTAAGTGCTTTAGATTTCTGAGCTGAAGTATAGTAAAAAACAAAATAAAGTTCTTACTCAGGCTGTTTAGAACTGGCAATCTGGAGAAATAAGGCCCAAAGCACTGCAAACAAAGACACTTCCCTTACTTTTGGGCCCCTTATTTAGACCTACTGGCTACTTTCAGCTACACTTGACAAGATCTTGAGTCCTGAACAGATTTTATAAGATGAGCCAAAACCCATTTCTGCTCCCATTAAAAGGTAAAAACAGCATTTATGCAGCTAGCTGTGAGAGCAGCAAAGAGTCAACACGAAGACTGGAAAGAGCT